GGGGGGGTAAGTACACTGATTTTGAAGAACGGCGATCGGAAATCTTCTGTGGCTTCACTGTTACATATTGCCCGAACCATCTATAAGTTTTTGAATGCCAGAAGAAATCTGCCAACTGAAGTTGTGCATGTTTAAAGAACGAAGTGGTTGTACAACCCACCCCCTCTCCCATCTTCATTACAACAGTAGAGCTTTTTGCAAATAAAAACAGATGTAGTTTGAAACTAATACGCACCTATTTGCGTTATGGCTATTGAGAAGAGTTGGAAATGAATTGCGAAAATGCTGATTTCGGAGGTAAAGGTTTCTGTTGGGTTCGGTTGTAGTTGGGTTGTAAAAAAGCTGCATTTAATCTCGCGAGATGTCAGCTATCAAAAATGGAAGTTCAATCGTTTCAATTTGTCTAATCGTTTATCTTGAGCTATCCAAGCTGACATAATTGGGCGTAGACGCCTGTTCTTGACCAGAATTACAGAAGGTAAGGCAAAATTTCCAGTTTTGGCGCATTTCTGTATCCTGGGAAGAATTCATGAAATTCGGTAGCAGAAGTATCTGCCTGAATATTGGAATTTTCACTACTTTTTTTCTGATTTTTCATAAGTTATGACTATTCAGAAAACCTGACAACACAAGATAGGGAATTACGAGTTGGATTAAATATCATCCGATCCCTTTACATTGAAGCAACGTAACTGCACCCAAGCCGAAATTCCAATGACAATCTAGATTTAAAAACTTGTTGTTCACTGTTGTCTTGAAATCGCTTTCAGAAATTTTGCTATAAGGTATACGATAAACAATAAACTTAAATTGCTGATATTGTTGAAGAAAAATTTGTCCCAAAGGCTTAGTATATGCGGTTAAGGTGAAATGAATTTCTTTCTAGTCTCAACATCATCACAACTTCCGCCAGTGCGGCACACTAGTAATAATTTTTCAGTAACTATTCTACCTTAAAAAATTGTTTTAAAACTACCAAAAGTAATTTTCAATACTACTCATGATTATGTTGGTCGTCAAATTTTGCAACAAAACTGACACTTTGCTCTAATCCCAGAATAGGAAGCATATTAGCTTTGATGCTAACAGCTCGTGTTTGGCGCTGTGATGCAATTTTTTGAGATTTAATTACAGTAGTATTACAGGAAAGCTTAAGAGAGGACGATGAAAGGATTTTTGGCGATTCATTAGTTTTTGGTCCTTTTCTGTGCCTTTACTAATGAGAAAGTACCATTAGATAAGCCGAATTTTATTTGGAAGTGCTGTAAAGTTATTTTGGAGATTGGTTCCAAGGTAATATGTTGAATACGGTAGATAAGCACAGTACTGGCTCGGCCCACAAAGATTGTGAGTCAACTTTAAAATATCGCCAATATTTCAGAGGAATTAGTGAATGTCAAAGTACATGTAACTGGGGCGTTTACAGATGGGCTAGCAGTAGGCATTCCATTCTGTAAACAGTTAGGATGACTGAATAATGGAACCTCAGAGGCCTTTATCTGTGCTGATTCGTTTATAGGCCAATGCCTTCTGCCTCTAGTTCAGCTTGATCTATTTTTGCGACTTGATCTCAGTAAAGTAAATCGTGCACTTTTAGGCACAGTGGCTATAATGTGAAACGCCCGCGATAGCAAAAGATGTAAAATCTGCAACTAAAAGTTACTATTTGAACCGAGGTACATAGCTTTCGTTATAGCATGTGAAATTTTGCCTTGCAGTCAACCACGCGTCATACTGCTGTGCTTATTTCACCTAATTTCCATCGTATTTGCTCACTAACCAACCACTTCTCTCCATCTTGCTCATCACCATCAAGTCATATCTCCTTTCTGTCGCTGTGGTGATGAGGGGGAAAGGAATCAAAGCCAGTATAGCAGTTAGAGGCAAAATTCGACATCTAGCTACTAGTCAACCCTTCTAAAAGCATCTAAGGACTAGTCACTTGAAGATATTGTCGAGATTGGTGTTTAAAGGAAAGAATATTTGCTTTTATTTACACCTTCACAATCTAGTTTAAATCAGCCTGATTGTGGAAATGGTACACCCGAAGTAACTGAATTTAAAAGATTGGATATTGGTGCCAGTCCCATTCTTAATACCGAAGACGCATTAGTTGATATAAGTAAACGGTCTGTTCTAATGACAGCCGCTCGATACATCCTAGTTTTCAATTCGAAATCAAGCGCGTCAGAAAGATGTGAACTAATGAGATCCTCGAACTCGTGATATGCTCAGCAACTTGATTTCCCACCGTTAAGATAATCGCTTACATCTATGAACCCCTCTACTCTGCTTGATTTTCTTCTACCTCCTGTTCTGATAGACTATTTCCCAAGCTATGAAAAGGTCTTCATAAGTGGTCATGTGTTACCGATTAGCCTAGGCCACTTGAGCTTACAAACTATCGAGCGAGCATCCCCCACCTCCATATTGATTGTACACCTTACTACTTCGTCAAAAGCTAATTGTTTTCGGGTCGACCTTACTGATAAAAGCAAGAGAGATCCTGATCTCTAAAAGTAAAACTAAGCATAAGGGAGAGTGAAAGTTTATTGATCACTAATACCACTACTAGGAACTGTTTCTTGATGTTCAAAATGAGCGTGTTGGCAAGTTTTCTCAATGATAGAGATAAAGAGAGAGAGAGAGGGACAAGGTTTGGGAATGGCGTAAAGTGGAGAGAGCAAAGGCAATTTTTGAAGCGATCGATCCACACAATTTGGCAACAAAGGTAGCACCCTTAAGACAATTTGAGAGCACAATGGAAAATCAATGGAAGAGACAGAACGCTGTTCTGATGATCACACACGCACACAATCTGTATTGGCACTTTAGAGGGCATCCATCGCTTAGTTGGGCAAAAAGGCGAAACACACATTAGCAAATAAATCTTTGTAAACCGCCGCCTTTTAGCATAAAGTTTAAGATAAGGGAAGGAGAAACGGATTAAGAAAGACACGACTCATCAACGGCACAAAATGCGATGACTACAGAGAGCGAAGGTGAGAGGAACACGAGACTAGCAACGGATTTATTGATTGGTTTTCATGGATTGATTTGATTTTCTTTTTTACCCCACTCTACTGCAGCTGAAAGACCTGACCCGTTGGCCGACACAACACTGATCAATCGATGTCGATTTTTCTTTGGGGGGAGGTTGGGGTGGAGGGCGGGAAACACAGCCAGAGGTCAAGATAGGCGAAATGCTATTGGACGGACAAAAAGGATGGAATAGAGAGAGCCGATGGACTGCCAATCACCGTCCACAAAATGCCAGTTTAGTCAAATGGTAGTGATTGGACAGACACAAAAAGGAAGTCTTCAGGAGAACATAAGCACAAAAAACAATGATGAACCAGTGGTTAGTCAAAATTGGATGAGGCAATTGAGGGGCGTGATATAAGGGGAGGGTAAATGGGCAGTGATATTGTTATGAGAATTTATCAAAAAAGGAATGATATTTTGGTGATGGTGGAAGTCGGTTGGTTTGATGCTTTGAGGTCAAGTGCAATGATAAATAAAAATTTCAGCATCTGATAAAGTGCTTTGCTTGTGAAAAAGGAGACAGAGTCAATAACACGAGAGAAAAGAGGCAAGTATGTTTTCCTATTCAGCTAAAGACAGCGGTAGGCACAGGGTTCTTGAGTTTAGCCGATTCTAATAAAACTCCAGCCGCAGCTTCACCTGACATGACAACAACACTGGGTATGATAGAGCAGAAATGTGTATCGCAGCGCCGCTTAATCTCACGGGCAATTTCGGCGCTGCCCACTCGAATGAGATAGTTCCCGGGAACTGGAAAATCATGAAACTCCAAAATGTTGCAATCGAGGATATTTCCAAGTTCTAATGAGGGAATTGAGATGGACATATCACGAATAAGAAGCCAATTCTCCTCACTCGCTGACAACGAATGACTTTGAGCGCTGAAATTGTCATTGTAGCTATTTTGACGAGAACTCCGAAAACCATTTGGAACTAAAAAATAAAATACATTTGAAAAAGAATTTTCCAAAACTACCTGGAGCGGGGAATAGCATCATAAGACCTCTCTGGTCAAATTCCATGTTGGAATCCTCTTTAGCATTTACACTTAACCACATAACCGCTTAACACTAAATTCATGACTCTTACTTTGCAGAAAAGAGCATGTCAAGAGTTACATCACAGATTTTTGGCGATTCGTAGTAAAAACAATAGAACAATCAAAGGATACTCCTTTGATTTAAGTAAGTTCGAGAACTTCGACTATGCAAAACAAGTGTATTGTAGACGACTAAAATTGTAAGCACTTGCAACTCAAAATATACAACTTCTTCGTACTATATCATGATAAATACAACCCATTCATAATTACATCTTCAGGAAGACACAAGTGTACGAAAATTGCGTTCATGGAAGCATACATTTAAAAGCTTTCTAAAACTAATCTTTGAAATTATTCACCAATCGAATACACTAACAATGGAAATTTGACACCAGCTCTAACTCTAGGGGGTTCTTCACGCTTCAAATGAAGGCCCTCCCGTTCATATAAACGTACTACTGATAGCAACACCCACATCTGTATCAACTATACACCACTGACACGAATATTAGCAATTGTTTTAATTAAATTAGTCTAGAAATAGAAATTAGCAAGTACAACAGGGGAAGCATAAAACAGCACATATCTTTAATGAAGGATAAGCCCTAGTTTCGCCATCTCTATCGGCCAGATTTAACAAATGTTGCTTGCCGATGGACATCGAAAGCGTAAGAAAGAAAGTCAAAATAAAGACCAAGTGAATTCCTATTCATCAAGAGAAAATAAATAGGCGTACTAAATCAAGTTTATATTAATTGTGAAACTTACTTGAATTAGGTGCAAATCCACCGGATGTCCCACCACTACTATTGGCATTAAGCAACTGCATGTTCACACATTGCAGCTGCAAATTCAGATCGGAGAACATTTTCTTGCCATTGGGAGAAGTCAGCATGAAGGGCTTCTCGTTGAATTCATTCAACTGCATTTGAATTTCCTGATGTGGGAAAAAGCGAATAACGCATCGATTTAACAACTTTAAACTATGAGTCTTAATTAACGTTAGACAATGCTCGTATTGCGTTTTCAATTCAATTCAATTTAAGATAAGAAATATTTTCGAGATTCAAAACGGCCTTCTTCCCATCTAATACTTTGGCAGTGGCAGCTAAAGCTAAAGAGCAATAGATCAGCTACGTCCCTATGTTCTATCAAATTTAATCAACTTACCAAAAGGCATCAGACCGCGAGATCAATTACTGAAATTTGAAGGGAGCTAGTGTGATAAGAAACTCAAACAACACAACTGGAGGTGTGCAACGATGGTAAGAGATTACGTGGCCACAATATCTTAACGAGCACGCATGTAGGCCACTAGACTATTAATGAACTCGTGAGAAAACTATATAGTTTCCAAAACCGTAAGACAACTCATTTCTATATTTTTGGGCAAAGTTAACATGCTTTTATCCCCTATTGATAAGAAGCCATAGAGTAGTTTGACAATGGGATAAGCAACTGCAAAGGCGTTCACAAAGTTACCTATCCCCATTACCAATATTCGGGCTCAACACTCATGACTGCTTGACAGTTAGTAAGGACAACAACGGTTATAAGTCGAGTGACCTTTTGATCCCCAAACATCAAAAATGTTTTGTTTATTTAAAAAAACGTATTAGAGTAACTGCACTTCTATCTTGCCTCTCACCGGGTCTAAATCGAAAGAAGCATAGTGATATCCAGTGGGCACCGAGATAAGAAACGGGAAGAGGGTCTACTAGTTTTGCCATAGTGTAAAAGAGCTTTGTTTTACAAAAAATTAGTAACTCACGTTTTTCAATGCTAGCAAGCCCATGACAGATGAGATATTGGACGAAGATTGGAAGTTTCGTATTGGAGCGGCAGTATTTGAGGAGCCTTCGAGGAAGGATGACATTGAGGGAGTTTGAGCAGGTGGGCGTCCAAGTAAAGAACTCATGAGACCATCGTCACTCCCAGTGTTGAAATGTCCCCCAGGAAGAGAACCGATAGCTCCGCCACTTAAGTTCATAGAATTTGACTTTGTAGTTGACCTCATCTGAATGGTTAATAGCATAGGATATAGATCTCGATACGTATATATCGTTGATACTGTGGCATTTAGGTAGGGATTTTTAAGTAATTTATACTTCCGAATACAGAGAGAATAAAAAGTAATATGAGCGGGATATACTCAGAATCTCTAAATGCAAATCGATAATCGAGTGAATGTAGATGGAGAAACGAAAAGCATAAGATATTGAAATAAGATACTGTGGACGAATTCACACAAAGACCAGAATATGATCGAGAATATTTCCAACAAATACATGTACATCTATAACAAAGTTAGCTCTACTTTCAGCACTAAGTGCCTGATAAAGGATAGGTGAACATACCGTATTTCCACGTCCAAAAGAAGCATTCGAAGCAACCTGATTATTGGAAAATGGTCCAAAGAAAGATCCACTCTCAGATGGTGCAGTGGGTGAGGATAGAAGGCGAGTACAAGCTAAAGTACGTTGAGTGCCCCGAAAAGGCATTGAACTCCCCCCGGAGGATTGTAGTGCACGTAAAGCAGCCAAACACTGATCAATATCGGTATTTCCAGTCGAAAGCACCTCCTCTACATCGGCTCGAGGGAAACCCTGTTGCATGAAATAAGTCAACAGACTATTGCGGTGGCTTGGCATTGGCTGAGGTACATTCTAAGTAAAAATGAACTCGTTTCTACTTAATGCTTTTTCAGTAGACATCTATTTTAAAATAAAAAAATTGACTAACCAGTATATTGTTTATGCCACCAGTAGAATTCCTAAAGTGGTTCTCAAGTAAGTTACCAATTGGCTGAGTATCCATATTTGGCCTTGAAGCCCAAGTGCTTGACCTACTACCCAGGTTGCTACCACCTGGAACGTCATTGATAGAGGGGGAAGGCCAGGCATTCAATCGATGCGAGCCCATTGGCGGTCCACTCAGGCCAGAGCTATCATTGGATTGACGGGAGATTAAAGTAGAAGTAGCTCCCTGAATTTGACGCCGAAAACTACCAGGTGGACCGAAACCTTGTGAAGCGCCTTGGGACGGAAATTGAGACCGCGAAGAGAATGAACCAGCTATAAAGTTAACAAATGGTTTGGAACAAGGAAAAAGCCATAACTTCGATATATAAAGATTAATATCGTGAAAAGCTACTTCAAATATAGTTAAAAAAAATCATCCTTGGGCGTCCCAAGATTTTAGAAGAACCGCGAAGCTGCTATTATTGAAAATATAATTCTTAAACGAGATAACCACATATAGAATGCTGCCGTTGCCGCTGAAAAATAGAGAAAAGCTCCAGTACATATCTACCATGGATACGAATAATACACAAGATAAAAAGAAGAACACAAAATTCACACAAACTACAGATATCTAATAATTAAACGATGTGGTTATTTAGAAAAGAATAACAAGTTCAACTGAGCTTTACTTAATAATCCCGGCATTTCGCCTACTTAATTACGCATAAGCAAACAAATAAGAATAAGAGTAAATTCAAGAAATAAATAGGAAATGGAAACATAATTCGATAGATGATTGGTTAGGCATAGATTAAACTCACTGGAAAAATGTTGAGTCATTTAAAATTGACTGAACAAAGGAGGGAATTTATCGAAATTTAGTCAAATTTATGTACCAGAAAAAATTCGTGATTAAACAGTATGATTAATATTGCCATCTAGGATTCCACTAGATAATTAGATTTAAAAACTACAAATCGCTAACAGACACAACAAACCCAAGCTAAAAATAAAAAATAGCTAGGACTTCAAACCTGTTTTGACAAAATGAAAACAGCCCAACTTGATTAAACGAACTAATCTCATCGAGAATAGATTTTACTATAACAAGCACGATAAGTTAATGGATGAACACATCAAGAACGTCGCCCTTCATGAGATATTCTGTCGAAATTGGAATTCAAAGTGATTATAGGATACTACTTCTAAATGGGCTCGATAAACAAGACATCAACGCTTTAAACAACCAAAAACAAGAATGATGTTAACCATAGCTGACTTACTCGAAGAATAGGTCCAATTATTGAAAGTCGATGGTAGATGTTGATTAGAAAGTGCCTGAGGTGAAATTCGTGAAGCAGCTGATCCATTTAAGGAAGCGGTTGGCGTAGAAGGTCCAGCCTGCAAGGAATCCCAGATATGAGCCCCAGTTGGCGGTTCGCTTCTCCAAACATTTGAGTCCTGACATTGACGGGGAGATTTGACATCATCATCATCAGTCCATGGAGTGTTCTGTTCTATAGGCTTCTGGCCCCATTTACCTGGGTTATTAATCCGTTCTTTGATTAGCAGTTCCGCATCATTTTTTAACTGTGGTTGATTATTTTGAGGCAACTGTAAATCCGAAAGTGTATCTAATCCCGTCATTGATTTTTCTTTTGCTTTTGAGGGTTTCGCCTGTGAATTTGTGGATAGGGGATCAGCATCCTGATTATTTGTTTCATTTTGGGCAGAATGGGGAGGAGGAATAGATTCCTTGTTAATTGGAGGCCAAGATGCATCCGGCCATGGGGTTTGAAAGACATCATTTTCAGGCACGTTATTAGAGCTGATCTGAGGTAACTTAGAAGCAGGTTCATTCCAAGCAAAATTTGACGACTGTGATGAACTAGACTGATTCAATGACCATTGTGAAAAATCATTTACGAGGTTATGCTCCTGCAAAATCAACGGATACTGCGATTACAAAGTCGTCTTAAAGTAAGCAATTCCAAAGATAAATTGAACTTACATTATTGCATCTATTCCATATTGATGGAAAATCAGGAATCGTCGAACTACTTGTAGATCCATTTAACATATTTCGACTCAAATGCGTTCCATCATGAAGGTAATTATTAGGCCATAAGTTAGGTTCCTCTTGAAAATGGGACAATCCTAAAGTCGTCAGATTTGAAATAAAACGATAAAAATAAATTAAAAAGCGAAAAACATGTAACAAAGTAGGTAATTTACGGTTAGATTCGTAGTTCCAAATGTCTGAGCTCTTTGGTTGATTTGACATTATAATAGAAGCGAGGCTTAATCTAGCCAAAAAACGTTGAGGTAGAAAATATCACAACAATTATACGAAATTAAATCACAAATAACGAAATGCAAATTTAATCATGCAGCGCAATTCTGAAGCTCAGAAAGCGGCTACTGTTCTTTTCTGCTAAAACAAAAACCCAAAAAGTCCGCGGACATAGTATGAACTAAAATTCTGTGAAACGGTAAAAGTGCTTTCTAGGTTAAAATTTTTGCCAATACTAATTAAGTTCGTCTATTTAGCCTTTACTAAAAATTGTTTATTTAGTCTGCCATCATTTATTTATTTTTTTTTAAAAATTTAAATCAACCCGACGAAGGGAAATGCTTTTATTCATAAGCCGAACATTGGACCATTTTTATTCTGGAAATTTTGTATTATTAAGCTTTTTATATTATAGCTTTGAAGAATACTATACTATAGTATAGTATACTATAGTGCACCTAATTATGGGATGCACTTTTCTCGATGATTCTCAAAGAATTTTAGATAACAAATATTCACAACTCTGGGTGTGCGATAGACTTACCTCCATGTGGTGCACTCTGGGCAACGTATACTCATACGGCCAAAAAGTCTATTATTCGGCACTTGACTTCTGACTTCAAACTACCATGACCCCACTGTATGTCATTTTCGACCACTTTCACAGTATTTATTTTACCTTTTTCTCTACCTTTGTGTCTGTCTCTTTTATATCTTTAAACCACTCTTCCGTTCCTTCCTATCGACTTTTTTCACTTTGATGTTCCTCCTCCCCTCTATGAAGCCCGTAGTCAACTAAAGGGCTAATGATACCTATCAAAATGCCTGCCATTTAATATAAATAAATAAATATATATTCACAACTCAATTAGTACTACTTACCTAGAGGAAGTCTTAAAATGTTTTCTATTCATTAGATTAATCGCCTGCATCGTTGCTTAAAACTTTGAAGATATCTTAGCATTTCTCATAGGTTAAATTTACCTGTCAGAAACTCAGAGCTTTATCGAAATTTGTCAACATATTTTGTATCCTAACAGATACACAAACCGTCGATCATTTTAAAGAAACTTGTAACATAGTTAAGAAAGTGAATGGTTAACTGCATCATGAAGTAAATAGAATGTGATTCTTAATTTTCTGATATCTTGACGTAATATCCCCTGACATGTTAATCGTTTGACCATGTCTCTATCTTGTGTGGCCGGTTTGATTCTTCATATTATCACTAGAAATGCCGGCAAAAGAAACATTTGCGTTTTACGAAATATATTCTCTAAATACACGAGAGAATTAATAAGCCTTTCCTTAGCCTGTAGAGAGTGATTATGGAGGAATATGAAGTAAACATCACTAATGCGAATATTCAAATTATTTCCCAACAATATTATAAAGGGGGATATTGACGCCACTTTATGCAAAAGGAAAAAACGAAACAAAGGCCATTTTTATTCACGGCAATATATTAAAATTTTCTTCTTTAAAAAGATTATTAAAGTCCCTGTGCAAAATTTTATGCCGCAGCACAAGAGCAATATAACTGGAGATTATGTGTGGTTCGATGGAAATTAATGTCTAGCACCATAATAGTTCTACCCACAGAATATTTCTTAGATTTATTCGGCTTCGACCTGAAAAGTGACTTCCAAACATCTTATAAAGTCGACGAAACCATATATTCCTTCAACGCAACTTTAAATTTTTGATGTATTTATTTATTTATATTAAATGGCAGGCGTTGTGCTAGTTAGCATTAGTTCTTTGGTTGAATTCAGGCTTCACAGAGGGGAAGGAACATCAAAGTGAAAATGTCGAGAGGGGGCAATAGAAGATTGTTTCAAAGGTTTAAAAGAGACAAATACAAGGGTAGGAAAAGAGTGAGGTAAGTACTGTAGAAGTAGTCGAATATGGCATACATTGGGGTGATGGTAGTTTGAAGTTTGATGTTAGGGAATGAAAACAACCAGAAAGATATATTTTTTTCTCAAACAGACATCAAGACCTCAGGGGCTGTATGTTTAAGTCCATCAGTGAAGATAATAAAGGATTGGGGAGAAACTCTTGAAATAAACAACCCAGAGCCTTTGATAGAAACCAAAAATGTTAAAATATGGGTTTTAAATCCACTAATAAATTGAAATGCAGAGTTTGAGACTCCGAGTGCAAAACCCATTCGAAAAACTGCATTTTATTCATATTAACATTAACATTTTTAATAACGATGTTTCTTTCTTCAGATATGTCTTTTATTTTTAAATTTTAAAAATTTAATATATTTGGGATACCAAAACAAATGCTTGATTTGGTCTGAAAAGTTACCATCAAAATGAATATATTGTGAAATCAAAAATTTACAGAACAAGTTTGAAAAATTAAAAAGAATCATAAAACCCTCTTTTCGAAGTAAAATGTAAAAAAGTCTGAAATATGAATTTTCAACATTGCATGAAATTAACATTGTTCACCATTGAAGAAAAACTCCAATGCTAATACATAATTTACGGAATTCTTAATTCAATCCATGTTACAGCATATTGATTGTCATTTTTCATTTATACCACGAATGTGATACTTTCCCTCTGCCTCTGACTATCTGTCAGCACGATTAAAGTTGCAATGGTAATTAGTCGTAAAGAAAGAGGTTGAACTCCATTGTGTTAATCCGGTGGTTTTATTTCCCACTTTAATAGTTATAGTTATATCAAATGGCAGGCGTTTTGATGGTTATCATTTGCC